ATTTGTCCACGACTGATCCCTCATCTGTTCCCTCTAGAATCCATGAGATCTGCCCTAAAAAATTCTCCACTCCATCTCACGGCAATGACTGGTTAATTATTTCAACTTTGTTGATATATCTACTTTGTTGATATATTCAAATTATACTGGTTAATTATGTCTCTATAATGCACGGGTGGTTTTTGGCAAGCTTGAGGCTGAGCGATTCTATAGCATGCCTTATCTGGAGCGCCTCTAACTTTCCTTTGAATTACCTTTTCAAGCACTCAATTACGACACTTTAAATGTGGTATGCATATCGCCGTGTCAAATTAGTAAAGTCGCCAATTAAACGAGATATATATATATATCTATTAGACGCTTTGATGTGTAGTATCGCTGAGTATTTTTATGAGTTGTTCCGTATTTTGACGAGCCCGTAGGGTGAGTCAATATACAAACACCCAACACTTCAAATTGTTACTTCAGTGAGGGCGAATTTCACGGATATTTATTGAAAGGGAGTGCGTGACAGAAGTTTGCGAAGCGAAACAGAATTGGCACGTTGCTGTGTTGCAGGTTCTATTTTCTTCAATAAATGAGGAAATTTCATTGTCGTCTAACTGCTTTTCCTCATTCGATTTATCAAATAAATTTGGATCAATATTCACCAGCCATTCCGACTTTTCGTCGTCAGAAAAATAATTTGAATTGTCCGCCATTTTTTTTAGTATAACCTCAATCCAATCATAGTCAGTACTATGATCCAATTCATCGCTTGCGCGATGCGAGAAAACCTGTCTAACTAGTTCTCTGGAGTACAAATACCGCGTGATATTTATACTCGTCCTGGGCGTTATTTATTCTCTACGGAGTGTAGTTAGATAATGATTCTCTTTATTTTTGCGCCAAGCGAAAATATCCTCAAAGGACAGGGAACCGCTCAACATCAGCATGGAAAGGTAAGTTAAAAATTCAAAGGACTCAGTACTCAACAAAGAAAGAAGACTGAAAGAAAAAAAGAACTTGAAAATAAAGGCTAGATGCTTCAAGGGCACAGACCGAAACGTGGTTTCCTTGAAGTGATAGAACTCGCAGATAATAGACTGCTCATACCCTGCGAGAAAAATACAGAACTTAAAAATAAGGGCTATCTGGCTTACCTGCTGTATTCCACAGCGAAAGAACTGCTATGATCGCCACAAAAAAGCCCAGATTCATCTTGAAAGACTTGATGTGATCAAAAGCCTTGCCTGAGAGTAATTGAATTTAAGTCATGCCCGGCCAGAATTTATAGCATGCAAGACTTCCTCGTAGCACATAGCTTCCTCGTAACTGAGCTGCCATCTGCTTTCCCCCTAACTGAAGGAAGTACAACGTTACGCCGGTTCAATTCCAAAGAAACCCTCCAAAATAGTTATGACATTATTCTTAAAGGAAATGCAAGGAGGGGGGGGGGTCTGCTGTTGCTATTCAGGTTACACAGCTGTGCGTCCCTGTTACTTCCCTTGAGTTGCAGCATTTTTCTACCTTAACCTTTAAACTTGCTCAAGAGCATCTTACTGCGAATAAAAGTATTGTAAGTGAACTAGAAAGGGATTATCGACTGTTTATTACTTAGTTTCCGCATTTGCTCTTCAAAATGTCCTCCTTCAGCTAAACTATAGTTTCATGTGAACGCTTTACAGCTGCGCATCCCTAAAAGGATTGTAAGTGCACTAGAAAGGGATTCTTGACTGCTCACTTAGTTTCCGCAGTCGTGCTTCAGTACGACTTCCTCTAGTTAAAGCCAGTCTATTTTCAGCTTCCCACTTAAATGGGCTGAGAACAGAACCATCTGACCGTGGAGGTAACCAACCATTGTACATGTCACGTGCTAAAAAGGATTCTCCATCTCTTTCTTAGTTTCCTTGTCCTCGAACAGAAAGGCTTTCGTTAATCATCAGATCATGTTGAGGCAAAATCAAAACGAAAATGCTTCAGGTTTTCCAAAAGGAACACCTAGGTTGGGGGTGGGGGGAGGGGGGGTTTGGAGGCGTAGTGTTCAAATTATCGGATCAAAGCAAAAGTTAGCAAGTTCAAACGTCAGATCATTTGAGCAGTTCTTCGGAGAGAAATCTACCTCATTCAAAACGTTTTTGGGTAAAGACTAACTCAAGCCCAAAATCTAATTATCCTTTAATTAGACAAAGGCATACACTTCACCTTGTTATATACCTTAGTGGGTTCTATTATCGTTACCTTGTTATATACCTTAGTGGGTTCTATTATCGTTACCTTGTTATATACCTTAGTGGGTTCTATTATCGTTACAATGACAACAGTCTGAACTAACATAACATGAAGCTTGTAAACATATTGATAATCAGGAGAATGATTTTTTCCTTGTCGAGCGATCTTTTCTTTATTGTGCGACTAAACACGGGAGGATTATTGACAATGAAAGAAAGGCTGAGATCACAATCTTACAAAATTTACAACCACTGCAAGAATTGCACTCGTGTATTGAGGATGATAGCATTGAAATTTCTGTGGCTAAAAGTGGCATTGCATTCGGTAACAATATTCAGTTACTGAATTAAGTAACTTTTAGGTGGTTCTTATGACAACACACTCTTCGGAAAAAGATTATTATTTTTCCTAGAAAACATCTTTGACACTCTTTTGTTTTGTCAGTAAAATTCCTTCACGACCCTACTAGAAGCATATCGAACTAAATAAATAAATTGGGGGGTTTGCAATACTATAGGACTTTAGTATTAATTAATAAAAGTGCGCCGCCACCTTATAAATTGCATCTTCATCACTGATAGGACTAAAAAGACCGTGTTGCGCTTCTAAGCACTGAAACATAATTACGCTACGATTTATCCACAGCTACTTTTCAAATATCCAAATTTACATACGGCAAAAGCCTCTCTTTTTTTCTCGCAAACAAAAGAGCTGTGGGAGGTGACCCCGACGAATTGTTTTCCTCAGAGGGTCTCAAAATAACCTTTCTTCTAAGAAAGCCAAACATCAAATACTTAAAACACATGCATAACAAAGTGCATTTGAGGTTAAATTAACAACGGTTTATTTAACGGTTTGAAAAAAAAAAAACACTCCAAAACGAAATCAACAGTTCTAGGAAATGGTACGGTACAACGCTTGATTAGGCACAGTACAGCTGACTCACTAGTCACAAGACAGGGCATGATTGCTACAATACGATGCCATCTGTGACCTCAGTACAGGGCTCGATTCGGAATAGTTAAGTGGGTTAACCAGGTACAATATATAACGCTCTGATCTCTGATTAACTAGAGAAGGTCGGTCTGATAAGACAAATAACGGCCCAGAAGTTTGGCTGGGTAAAATGCTGTGATCATCATGAATGCAGGTCTCTCAAGGGGAAGAACGATCCAAAATTCCCTTATGGGAAATATGTTTGATTTTATTTGAAATAAAAGAAAGTCTCTCTGTATAGTTATATTTTTCACAACCAAAACAAACTGCATTCAAAATACCATTAGGGACATTTTGCAGAGTATAGCAAAGTAAATACAGAAACTAAGGGAACAAGCCAATGAATCACGGAGGTAGAATAAGGGTTAGGGGAAAGTAAAAACTGCAACGTTAAACCTGGAAAGAGCAATTGTAACGATATTTATTAGAGTTCCCATTTTCCGCCTTTTTAACTTTTACTTTCTATACAGCTTCATCACCCACCCTCTTATTCTTCTCCAAGTTTATTGGTTTCGTTTCGGCTACGAGCACACTAATTATAACAAGTGTGATAGCGTACTATCAATAACAAGCAATCGTCTTTTAATAGTTTGCGTTACAAGAAGGGAATACCGGTATAGTTAACACGGGGAACTCTGAAAACTACACCTTGAAGCTTGAGTCTTATAGATGCTTTAATGCTAAAGGCAAAGAGTCTACGGATCCTTTTCTTAA